AAGGGTCGTCCCAAGATGATGGTGCATTTTCATCGGCTTCACAGTCCAAGATGAGGAAATCGACTGGAAATACAAATTTGTCCACCTTTACTATGACGTCTTCTATTCTGCCCTCAGGCCGTACATAAGACCGATTGGCCAGCTGTAAGATAAATGTGGTTGGAATAGCGTGATACCGCTATAATTTTAAAAATATGGACTTTGGTATCAAGTTTACACTTGATCCTAAATCAACGAGAGCTCGTCCTACAAAGTTATTACCAATTGAACATGGTATTATAAAACTGCCAGGGTCTTTTTTTTGTGGGAGTTTGCTTACTGCAGAACAAATTTCTATTGCCGTGGCAACGTTTTCTACCTTTCTCTTTTTTGTGATGATGAATTTTAGAAACTTGGCATAGGAGGGCATTTGCTCGATGGCGTCAAGTAAGGGCACGTTGATATACAATTGATCCAGAACATCAACAAAATTCTTGAACTGGATGTCATCATTATGTTTCTTTAATCGATGAGGGAATGGTGGTGGAGGTTTCACATTATCTGCCGTTGGTGCCATAAATTTCCCGTTATTTGGATGATGTTTTTCTGAGCCTTCATCATCTTTCTTTTCTTCGAGTGATTCATCATGTTCCTCATCTTCAGCTTGATCCTCTAGTTGTGTAGTGCCTAGACACGACTTGTTCAGCTTTTCTCCCTCAAACTTGTCGTTTTGGTTAACTTGTGCTCCACTCCTTAGTGTAAGTACACTGCATTGCTCTTTTCCGTGATGCTTAGTGATTCAAGTATCTCTAGGGAGATTTCCTTGCGGGTGAGAATGTAATGCCGTAGCAATTTGGCCCACTTGATTCTCCAGTGCTCTTAGATATGAACTATGGCTTTGCAAAAGTGTAGTTGGCTTTGCAATAAATTTCCTTGATTTTTTATTGTTGAAGAATGCTCGTGCATCAAGGTTTTTGTTGAATCTATGAAATCTTTTGTCGAGGCCATAAATTCATGCAATGAAACTTCCAAAGAGTTAGTATTGGAATTAGTATTAGAGGAAGAAGCTATACCTTTAGTGTTTTGCCAGGGCAACTGATGATGCTGATTCTGGAAATGTTGATTGTCTGAGTTACTTTGTTGTGGCCTATTGTAACTTGCTGATTGATTGTTATTGTTCCCTTGATTACTCCATGAAAAATTTGGATGTTATCTCCAACCAGGATTGTACGTGTTTGAATATGAGTTATTATTGCTCCGGTTATAATTACCCACAAAATTGGTGGACTCATTGTTTTCCAGACATTCACTCTCATGATGGTTGCCGTGACAAAATATGCATGAGTTATTGGTCACCTTGACTTCTCTTACCTCATTAGGACGCTGCAAATTTTTCAACATATTTGTTATGGCAGAAAGTTGAGCGGCTACCGAATCCTTACCCTCGAATTCATATGTCCAAATACTTTTCTACCCGTTCCCAATCTTGTATTTGGGAATTGATAATCATTATTTGATATCCTGTCGAGGATATCAAAGGCTTCCTCGGGTGATTTGTCAAGTAAAGTGACATTTGTTGAGGCATCAAACATCATTCGAGTAGGTGCATTAACTCCGTTGTAAAACATCACTACTTGAGTCCAGTCACGAAATCCATGGTTGACACATTTGCAAAGTAGACTTTTATACCTATCCCAACATTCGTACATTGATTCATCATCTCCTTGGTGAAAACTTGCAATATCATTACGAAGTTGTGTATTCATATTGGGAGGATTGTATCGATGTTGGAAACTCTTGCATAAATCTGCCCATGATTCCATTGAGCCTGAAGGAACTCCACTGAGCCAAGCTCTCACTCTATCGTGCAGGGAATAAGGGAAAATTTTTAGTTTAAGCACATCTTCATGCACTCTTTGTTGTCGGAATGAATCGCATACTTCAAGGAAGGCACAAATATGCTGTCTAGCATCCTCATTAGGTGAACCACCAAATTAACCGATAGAATTTAACATATTAAACATCATCGATTTAAGTTCAAAATGAGTTTGTTGTATTTCAGGTGCCACGATGCCTAGATTGAGGTAATCAAGAATTGGATTCAAATGATCTCGTATTGCTCGTGGTCTTGCAACTTGAAGATTAATTGTTGTATCAGGATCTTCTTGATCTCCCATGTTGTTGCCTTGTAATTGTAGTTGGGTTATATACTCTGGTTCGTTGGTTACGTCGCCTCTATCTGAACGATTGTTCAATTTTAGGGTCGAATAGTTCCAATGGTTTACCATCATATCTCAGGGTCATGCAATAATGAAAACCTACAAAAGAAAATAATAAAATACGTTAGACTAATTAAATATAAGGTGACAAGAAAAACTTGTTATGGCTAAAAATAAAAATTTCGTCAGTTGTCAATCCCCGACAACGGCGCCAAAAACTTGATCGCTTGTAAATGTATATGCTAAGGAAAGAAATTTTGTGCAAGTATACACAATCAAATCAAGTAATATAGGGTAAGTGAGTTATCGTCTCCTCAGGGATTGGTCGAAAGTTTTTAAGCTTCACCACAACCAGAACTAGTGTCACAAGCTAATTCCTACTATCTTGTTAAACTAGAAAACTATTATTAATAAAACAAGAAAATAATATAAAGTATGATTGTAGAAAAGTTTGGTCGAGACAAAATAAATATGCAGACTATTGAAACAAAACAAAGACAAATGTTGATTTAAATATAATTCAAACAACCTCGCATATTCAGACTTATCACAGAGCGTTTATGCTAATCTTTTGTATTAACAAGCAATCATTCTAAGCTTAGAATGAATCGTTATGACATGCTTAAACTGCCCGACATGATTACTAAGTATTCTTAGACGGTTGCTATGACATTACTCCTCAGCGTTAACTACAACCCTTGGGTTGTCAGACTGTTGTTGTAGCAATACCTCTCAGCGTAAACTATAGTCGTTGTCTATCCTACTTAAGCGTTTACCCCTTTTAGTCGATTGAAACATGCTCCTTATCTCTAAGATAGACAAGTTAGAACATCACCATCCCGGATCCATTCCATTGTTCACGTAAATCTATCTTAATTCTCTTGAATCTAAGAATCAATATCTAGACAAAAGGCAATCTCTCGAGGCTCTTACATTGCCAAAACATGTTTCACCAAGACCTTAGGCAATCTCTCGAAGCTCTTACAGTGTCAAGGTAAAATATTCACACAATGAACAAAACAGTTATGAGCATAATCATACTTCATCATTCATAGAGCAGAAAATAATTGTTTAGGCAAAACAAAGATTAACACCAAGTAAGACAGTCATGGTGCTATAAAAAAGTCATCCAAGTATCATCGTTTTAATACAACCCCAAATACGTAAAGAAATTAAGAACAAATGAAGAACGACTCCAAAACCGGGGGCTCTGTCGTGACAATTCTGATCAGCACCGTGCATGTCTTGGTGATCAGCCTCTCTCGAGACCTGACCACCGCTCTGCTACAGTCTGGCTATGGAGGACACCAAGGAAGGTCAGTTGGCAAACGGTAGGGAAGCACTGTAGTTGCTCGCTCACACTTTCAGTAAAGCCCTAACTTCCTTGTCCCCTTCTTTGGGGCTATGACTGGATATTTATAGAGGGGAATCTCCTAGGGTTTCACATAAGTGGAGATTCCTCAAATACCCGTTATTATCTTGTCCAGACTAAAAGGGAAAGGCGACTGGCGGCTGTCAGAATTTTGAGGGCTTGCTTGCACGTGAAGGAAGTCGTACAACTGGCTTGTGACATAGGCAATTTCATCATATCCGCTTCAGACTTTCCAGATAAACCTTGTCTTGGTGAGATAAATATGCTTATAACGTTCTTTAACTTATCTATTCAATTGGCCCTTACAAATTATGTTGTCGCGACTGAAATGTTCTTCCTCCGTAAATTTCCTGCACATACACAATCCACACAAAATCTTTATCCTCAGTAGCATCAGTTAAACCAAATAAATATTGCCGAAGCAAAACTTATCCACCACAAGCAAATATAACCTAAATGCAACTAAAATGTTGTGCATAATTTGTTTAGACGAGCAATAACTTAAGTGAAAAGACTAGAAATTGAGTCTTTTTACGGAGTTATCAAGAACCATTCGGGAAGAGGAGAAAATACATAGAGAAGAACGAGAGGGAAAAAACCCAAATGGATTCCACCCAAACAGAAACAAAATATAGAGATATCGAAATAAAAAAAAGAAAGAGAGAAGAAGATATATACCTCAGTCCTCGCTCGTCGGAGGCAAAAAAAGGTCGTTGTTTCTCATTTTTTGAAAGGTAAAACTCTAGATCTAGGGCTCTCGGGGTGGCTTTAGGTTCAAAGAGTTTAGTGGTCGGGTTGAGGGTGAAGAGGGGAGTGTTCGGGGAGTCTTTTACTCCCTCCGGCCACTGTGGACCGCCGTGGGTCAAAGCCGATGAGCGGTGGCCTCCTTTCCCCAACGAGGGGAATTTGAGAGAGTTTGTGACTCTCTTTCTCTCTCTCTATTTTCTGAGGAAGAGAGGAAAATTAAAGGGAATGGGGAAGAAGCCTCGTTTTAGGACTTATATCCCCTGGTCAAACGATATCGTTGAGAGGGTGTGCCTCAACGTGTTTTTGTGCTTGGGGGATAATTACAATTAGAGTCCTCGTAGCTTTGTACAATTTACCCATGTTTTCCATTTTTATGGGGAAAATCACAGTTTAGGTCTTTATAGTTTTGTAATAGTTGTAATCTAATCATCTTAATGAAATTTTATATTTTCATTTCGAGCTCTGTATCTGTTTCATATTTCATTTTAGTCCTATTTATATTAGTATTTTATATGTTTAAATATTTAGATTTTAGCTATTAATTATTTGTATTATTCGTTTTGGTCATCATACTATGTTTCTGTTTGCTTCATTTTTTATACAATATTAGTTCATATTTCGTTTTAGTAACTATTTGTTCATTAAAATGTTGTATATTTTTAGGTATAACATTAAATAAATGTTGTTATTTTATGTTGTAAATATTTTCTTTGTCATTTGAAATCATATTTGTTTCTGTTTTATTTCCTTATTTATTAATATTATTCAAATGTTTTTCAAAAACACCGATTTGTAGAATGAGCGTGGAAAGCTTCACTTGGTCGAAGTGATGCGATCCGATACGTCATTTTAACAAAATGGGAACTTGAAATAAATCAACTTTATTTTGTTAATTAATTCATCTCGTATTTTAAATCGAATATTGATATGCATGTTTCTCTAGATAACAATTTATTTTATTTCACACAAATGTTTATTGTCAATTTATATTCGATTCACATTTTTTACATAGTCGAAGGTAGAATATTCTTTTACTAATGAGAAATGGTTGAAATAGCTTTCTCGACGAAGGATTGCAAATTTCAAGATTTCTTATTGAGTTAAAGGATTTTCTTTAAATAGTTAATTCGAAGCAAGTTAATTATATTTCAATAATTGGATTATATTTTAACTATATATTCGATTAATGATTTCCACCATTTACAACAATGTGTAAGCGACACAGTGCCAATTTTGGGCGTTGTGGGGGTGCTAACCCTTCCCCACACGTAACCGATTCCCGAATACTTTTAAATCGAATCTTTGGTAAACGCAGACCAATTTTTTTTCTAAAAAAAAAATTTCTTAAAATTATTTTAAAAAGACTTTCTAGGTATTCGACCTACCTAACCCAAAGGTGGATGACAAATCCTTTCAATTTAATTCCAATTAATCCAAGATCCTCAATTCTTCCAAATAAAATTCATAATTATTTTTTTAAACTTAATAATTATTTTCAAAAAAAAATGGTTATGACAATGGTAACTTGGATCGACATGAATCTCCGGCAACCTGACTATATTTCGAGGGTGGCTACCGATTGGGATATCTTTTTTCGGCTCGATGGTTTGGTGCCTTTGGACTCGACGAAACAAATTACTTGGTCACCCCCCGGGACGGATGGCTGAAACTGAATACGGATGGTGCTCGTCGGACGTGTTCTGACTTGGCCGCTTGTGGTGGAGTGATCCGCAATCAACGAGCTGAATGGGTTTGTGGGTTTCTCGCGAAGCAATGAAGTATGTTCGGTTATTGATGTGGAGTTATGGGGGCTTTATATGGGGCTGCATATTGCATGGGAAAGAAATCTACGTAGAATTATTGTCGAGTAGGATAATAAAAATGCCCTTGCTGTTCTTCATCGGCAACTGGAGGTTGATGGCATATCACCTATGGTTCCGCATATCCATGAGTTGGTGCAACGAGATTGGTGCTTGCAGTTCAATTATACTCGGCGTGAAGGTAACAGACTTGCTGATGGATTAGCGCTCCTGGCCTGGAGCATGCATGGTCCTGGTCACATGTTTATGGAGTCGCCAGCAGAAGCATTGGAGGCCTATAACGGGGAGAAACCGATAGCTCTTTGTATGTTTAGGAGTTTTACTTCCTTTATATTAAAAAAATATATATATATATATATAAATGGAGTGGTACAGAGCTTTAGTTGGTTTTAACATATATAAAAGTATAAAAATCAATATAATAATATTAATTATTTTTAAATAATGATTTTTAATAATTTTTCGATTAAATTGTTACTTATTATCGTATAACACTAGTTTAACATAAATTTAATTAATAATATAAAAATTTATATATTTTTTAATATTATATATAAATTTTCATTTAATAAAATATTTTCTATTAAATAATAATCTCAATAATAATACAATTAATTATAATCTCAATAAAGTCAGAAAAATATTAAATCCATTTAGTTTTCCATAAATATTTTCATTCAATAGTCTATTTTTTTCCCTTGAAAAAAATAGCTATAAATGGTTTTTTTTAAGGAAAGAATTTTTATTAGTTATATGAATCATCAGTTCTTCCTCTATCCGTCCTCTAGTCTTGGTTTAGGGTTTCAGGAGTCTACTTTCTATTCAGCCCTTCACATGGCGGGTGCCGGAATCCATCCTTATCACCAGCAATGGCCTCCGGTCCAAGCTCCTCCTCCACCACCGGCCACTGTTTCGGCCGCGCCTCCGCCGGCTCCTCCTGTTCACCATCCTCCACCTGCTCCCTCTCATGACGAGGTCAACTCTCTCTCTCACTAGATTTACTCCAGTTCCATTGAATTTTCCTTTTCAAGCCTTAGATTTCAGCATGAATTGCAAGTTTGATGGTAACCGAACCCTAATGTTCTATGTTTGAAATTTTAGCATAAATAACTAATATAGTAGGTCTTTTCTCCAGCTTAGCTTTGTTTAGTCCATTGATTAGCTCCATGAAGTATTTGTTTATAGGTAAATATAGATATTCGAATTTCATTTTGCACTTGTTTTTTCTTTCCCAAAAATAAGAATCAGTTAAATTAATTTAATAACTGACAGCATATATTTCATGATTTGAATGTATATTACGACAGTTTAGTTACTTGTTCCTGTTTTGGTGAATCCATTGCTTTTTTAGCAAATAAGCTAAAATAAGCTGAAGTATTGAAGTAAGGTATTTGAATTTTCCGTGGATATTATAAAATTAATGGAAATATTTGTGCTGGATTTAGGTTCGGACCATCTTTATTACCGGTCTTCCTGAAAATGTCAAAGAGAGAGAGCTGCAGAATTTACTGAGATGGCTTCCAGGTTTTGAAGCTTCGCAAGTGAACTACAAGGGAGAAAAGCCTATGGGTTTTGCTCTCTTCTCAAATGCACGATTTGCAGTTGCTGCTAAGGATGCCCTTCAGGTATTATAGATTTATTTAATTGGCATTTTTTATTTTACTCATCTGAGGTATCTCACCTTTTTTCAAAGTACTGACTGGGTTTGATTCGGATGTGTGCTAGGAAATGGTTTTTGATGCCGAGTCAAAGTCCCTTTTACACATAGAGATGGCAAAGAAAAATCTATTTGTTAAAAGAGGTATGTTTTCATTTTAACACTTTGTTCAATGCCAGAGTGAAAAAGACTTTACATTGTTATAAAGAAATTCACAGACAGATGGTGTGTTAAACTGGAAATAAATTAATGCATAACGCATAATTTGGTTAGAAGTGATCATGATGTTTGAAAGACAATTATATGATGGTTCTAAGTAGACGAGCACTGTGAAAAGAGATATTTAGCAGCTAAATTTTGGTTGAATGTGGCTAAAATATTGTCTAAAGTTTTTCTTTAAACCATCAATTTTAGATGTCCACTCTTGGTATTATACCAATATATGTAATCTGGAGTGTTAAATTTCATACAATAATGAGAAACAGGAATGTTAAAAGGAAGTGAACTAACAATGATATTTGTTGGCATTATGATGTAATGATCATATGTGATTTCTTTGTAGCTTATTCATCGAGTAGAGGCTTCAACAAAGTGGAATATTTGTTTTGAGGCAGCCATCCCCTTTTGGAAACATTAATTCAGAAGTTGAAAAACTTCCATTTACTAATGTGGCAATTGATAAAATGTCTCTGTTTTCCATTCCTGTCCTCTTTTCGTTGTTTCACATATGGCAATACAAACAAAGTGATATCGTGAGTTTGACAAAAAAGAACTCAAATTTTGTAACTTTTGGACCAAATAGTAGTTCTTCAGTTGTCACTCTAAATTTTCAATGGGCTCTTTTTTTTAATTTTTTTTATTAAGGTGGTTACAGTTTGAAGTTTCCATTGAAGAGTTATAGTATCTTCTTCTAAGTTGATTTATACCCTCGGGAATATGATTCTCAGTTGACTATTCCAGGATTCCAGCTTATTATCTTGATGAGCATGAATGGTTCCTTTTCCTTTTTTTTTTCTGAAGTGCCATAAGTTCCCAATGCTTGTTGACTACTAAATAATTATTTGATTCCAATTTCTTGTAAATTGTTCATATTTTCAAAGTCTTAAGTATAAATCGTGGAACATCCTTCTACCTCGGGAAACCTTTAAGACACAATCAAGTCTTTTGGTCATGCACCACTTTATGTGGTTGTAATGTATTTGAGTGGGTCTGTGGAAGTTGTAAGTGGGTGAGGAGGGAAACATAGTGATATGATATTGTGATAAAAATAAAATGTAAGTTCTTCCATGATCAAGAGCCTATATTTGTTTTGTGATATTTATTCCACAGGAATAGTAACGGATTCTGATGCATATGATCAAAGCAAACGGTTGAGAACTGGTGGCAATTATTCCCACAGTCCTTATTCAACTCCTCCTCCATTTCATACTCCTTCACCTGTTTGGGGACCACATGGGTAAGAAGCTATGCCAGGATGTGGGTTGTATACTGCTACTATCAAGTCTGCCTGGTAGTATAAAATTTCATTTATATTTACAATGTTTCTTGTTAAAGTTGAGCTTTATTTGCATAGGTATATGGCTCCAACTCCTCCACCTCCTCCATATGATCCGTATGGATGTTATCCTGTTGCTCCAGTTCCGATGCCAACTCCGGCAACTGTACCAGCTCCAAGCAGTTATGTGCCAATTCAGGTAATTTCTATATCTAACATGCCATTTTCTCTTCTCGATTAGATTTTGTATCAATTTTTATTAGCAATTTTCCCCTCTAAATTATTGAAATAGTGGGTTATTAAGATTAATTAATAACGATTAACTTTAATATAATATACATTGATTGCAATGAACTTGTGCTAAAAACTTGCCTTTCTGTACACTGGAGATACGACCCAAGTCCAATGTTTTTATGGATAGTTGTCAATAAACAGGTGTTATTTTGTTAGCATCTTATGAGGCGCTGTTCATTGTTCCTGAGAAACTTAAATGCAGCATCCATCATGTGTTGTATACTTGTATTTCCTGGAAGTAAATGAAAACTACTTATATATATAATTTTAACCATTGCAGATTATCAAATGAACACTTAAAATCATCGAAAATACTTTTATCTAACCTGTTCTCTTTATGACTTTATAGCAGTTGTAAAGTTAGACTTTCCTTGTTTAGGGAGATTTTACTTTTGTTCTTGTCCTGCAGTCATCTGTGGTTAAGATTTTCATATGTTTGTTTGGTATGTTATACATGTAACATGTCCAAGCACAAATGAGTACAATACTTTCTCTGTGTTCTATTTATCTTTCCATTATGCACATGCATGTGTGTGTTTTAAATCTTATTCTTTTGAATATAACTCTTTTCTATCATCATTACTTAATATGTTTTGATGATAGACTAAGGAATATTTTTCATCTAAGATATTTTATTGGGTTGTAAGCTTAGCATTTTGCAAGGTTTAGATTTTTTATTCTTTGGTTTTTGACAAACAAGGATGAATGAGTTTCTTCAAATGCTGTGTGCTAGCTCCTTTTGGAACTCTTCTAACCTGAAAGCCTTTCCTCTTTGTAGCCATGAATTTGATGCCCTTACCTTTCAACCTTCCATTTCTGATGTTTTAGCTGGGAAAGATGGGGAGTAAATCCCACTCTGGCTGTAAAAATCACATTAGTAAATCTGTGTACTGTGTAAATCAAGTCCATGTTCTGCAATTTTCTAGAGAATTTCTAACGGAGTAACATGCCTGAGGTCTTAAGCAATTACCTTGGCTACTGTGTGATAGCTTTTGATTCTATATTAGAGTTGTTTTTACTAGAAGAGGACATTTCTTCTGGCTGTTTGATTCTTTCAAGTTTCTGTTCCTTGTTATAACCAGTTTACTTTTTTTCTAGAGTTTGACATGTGATAATGATTTGTTTTTCTTTCTCTATTATTGTACATCCAGTAGCCTAGTAAATTTCAGAGGTTCTCCATTTGTTTTTAATGATATTTTTGTTGGCAGAATACCAAAGATAACCCTCCTTGCAATACCTTATTTATTGGCAATCTTGGAGAGAATATTAATGAGGAAGAATTAAGGGGCCTATTCAGCGTGTAAGAATGAGTTAGCCACCGGCTGGTTTTCGAGTTGTTTTATTTCTTATTTGAGTTTTGGGCCGTTTGTTGATGACAGCTTTTATTTATTTCGTACTTCTGCTTTACATGCAGTCAACCTGGTTTTAAGCAAATGAAGATCTTGAAACAAGAGAGGCATACTGTTTGCTTTATAGAGTTTGAAGTAAGTTCTTTATCTGCTTGGATGCAAACAGTTATCTGCTGGATGAAACTTTCTTGGTGTTTTTTTTCATACGCCTAAGAGTTTTTTTCGCCAACTTGCAGGATGTGAGTACTGCAACCAATGTGCACCACAATTTACAGGGTGCTGTGATCCCCAGTTCTGGTTCTGTTGGCATGCGAATACAGTATCCTTTTTGTATCTTGTTGTCGCTTTACTGTGTTAAGTGTTCTTGCTTTCTTCTTTCTATTGTTATGTCAACTGGTGCATATGGTTGGTGCTTTATTCGTGTGCTATTTCATGTGTTTGAGTCTTGATTCTTCTTGTATGTTACGGTTCTGACATGTTTTCTACCTAACGGTCACCCCTTCTTGCTTCTTGATCTTAACATAGGGGTGGGGGTAAAATTCTTTAATTTCTCTCTAGCCTGGGATTGAGCTAGGGTTTGGAGGGGGAAAACGAAGTTTCTTTCTTTTTTGGGTGGGTGGGTTGCAATTCTTAAGTTTGGAAACTGATAACCATGATAGTTTTTATGTTTCTTTCTAGTCTTGATAGTTTTTATCTTTCTAATTTTATCTAAGCAAGTTCTCGAGAATGCAGAACATTTTAAAAATGTTGAACGCAAAAGGATGAAATTGGGAAAATAGAGGGCCATATCAAAATAAGTGACAAAAGTAAAAGTTTCCATGCGTCTAAAACAAGAATATAGGACAAGCCAAGGGGACTTAATTGCACTCGCTAGTCCCACCTGTCTCCATAACTTTGTAATCAATGTTTTTTTTTTTGGGTTATGTTATTAGCTTTACATGTTCAATCCATAACTTTATTATAAATGCTTCTGTGAGCAATGTTTTCTTTCTTGACTTTGTAATAGATATTCAAAGAATCCTTTTGGTAAAAGGAAGGACTCTGGTCATCTTGTTGCTTCCCCCAGTGCAAATGGGCCTCCACCAGCTATTACTTACCAGTAGATCATGTGGATTTTCTCTGTTTTCTGTTGTCCGACAATATATGCTAGGATGCATCCATTTCATCATCAACATCAGCATTAGCATCTCTTCTCGTGTGTTTGAATTTGCATGGTGGTATCATGAAGTGCACCATTTGTTAAAGTTGTCATTTTGCCTAAGACATGCATTTATATGCAGCATATTTTATGCCAGCTTAACTTTATAGGTTAAGATAAATATGATATTTGTAGAAGTAGCGCATTCCCTACAGTTTTGGTTAATTTGTGTGTTATTCCACCTCATGTTGAACATTAACCAAACCATGGTGTTGGACTACTGTTGTTTTATATTAGGTTAAACTGCATCACACAGCATGCAGTCATGCACATTACAGTACTAACATGACATTCAAAGATGATCCTCAGTTTCATTTAATAGCACTAGTTCGATTCAAAGATGCAGCACACCATTCCATTTTTCATTCTCTACATGAAATTTGTAGAACTGTTTCCATATCCATAGGCACTATCTGTTCTTGTCAACTGCAAACAAGATTGCCATGCTTTTAACATATTAGGGAGTATTTAAAGCAATCTAACTACATCACATTACGATCCTGGGAATTTAAAGAAATGTAGGGAAGTATAACATTTCTCATTTATCACGAGGAAGTATCATAAATATTGCCATTAGCATTAGACACCATTTATTCAGTGAAGTAGAAGGAGGTTGATCATTTTTTTAAGGGGTAGGGTATTAGGATCATAATTTAAGTAATAGGAAGATGTATGTGGATGTGATTTATATGCAGGATAAGCTACTTTGCTCGAGGTGAATGGTGCTTAAGCTGATAATTTGGCACAGGTAAACTTTTTAGTTGTAGTCACAGGTAAAGGTTCAAATTCTGCTTGTTTGTGATTGCTCTTAGTGCATAATTTTATTGATTGACGCTGTTTTGGAAGTCCTTTTTTTTTACTTGGTATGATATTTGATTCACACTCCCTGGAAATGAAGTAAAATGTAATATTTGATAAGTGACGAAGGCAGTAGGTTTAAGTGAAATATTTTTTTAGAAAAATAAATAAGATAATAATTAGATGGGTCAAACCCAAATAAGCATTAATCTTCATTTGCAGTTGTCCAAATTGTCGTACCAAATTGCCCTAAAAAACATTGAAATTGGGATCTGCTGAGGTGATGCAATTAGATTTGCGTATATAGGTCCAAATTGTCGTACCAAAATCCCCTTGATATATTAAACTCATTTAGATGGAAAAATTAAAAGCTAGGAAACAATTATATAACAAATTAATAGTTGTAGACAAGCATATGTATGATCAAATTATTCGTTTTAAGTTTGGAATTTTTTTTGAAGAGAATTTGGATAAATATAAAGAAATATAAATATGGTTTATGATTTATTTTTCAAATTGAAATGAAATGAAATTATATTAATAAAAATATAAAAAATATACTTTGCTTAGGAAAGAAATAAAATTATTTTTGTTAGTTTTAAATTTGAGAAACAAATTATTTTGATGTGTCAAGCTAGCTGTAGGAAATTTTTTTGATGCAAATAGAACCATTAGTTTTATTGAAAGGAGAAAATATTTAAAAGTATAATGAAATTTGTAAACTAAACATATAATTAAAAACCTTTTCCGGTCATTGACATAATATAATAGTTTCTCAAGAAAAGATTAAATTATAATACGAGAATAAATTAATGTGAGACTACTAACAATGGCAAATCAAAATTGAGCGTTGCCAAAATGCTATTTACTCGTGCAATCCGTGTATTTAAGTTTAATTTGAGGGTCAAAAATAGTGAAGACCAAATAGGGTGTCAAATAAGAAGCATCTTGATCAATTGTGGTAATGTGATTTTTTTTAAATCAATAGCATCAACCAAATAAGCAAAAATGTTATAGGATAATGTGTCATAAAAATGGAATTATTAAAAACTAAAAATACAAAGAAAAGATAAATATGTAATATAAGAAAATAGATGAGAAATAAAGATTACATAGTCTGGTACTGTCACCGGTTAAACAAAATAAAAATAAAAAAAGTGATGACATTTTGGGTTTAGAGAGAAAAATAAAGTAATTTTTTATTTGAAATTGAGTCTATTTTTTTAATTATATCTACCCTTAACCTTAAATACTTTTAATTTCATTAAATTGTCTGTAATTACAATTAAGCAAACAAATATACATATAAGTCTTTGCGAGTATTACTAGTAATAACTGTATTTCGTTGCGATTATTGGGTAATACTGTTCAGAGTACACAATTGTAGGAGCTGTTGGAGTTGAGTAAAACTTGGGAAGACTTTAATTTGAAGCTTAAAACACTCATCCAATTTGTTCATCTATGAATTGTATGCTTCATAAGTAGTAATTTTATTTATTTTTTTGGTACATTAAACGAGTTGTACAACAACAACAACAACAAAACTCTATTCCCATATGCAATGGAGTAAGAGGGAGGTAGGGTAGTAGGCTGCCCCCAACGCATGGTTGAGAGCAGCTTCCGTGGAAGACCTCCGACAGTCAAAAATTAAAATAAAGATAAAATACAATGCATGTATAAAGAAATACATAGTTGAATAGTTTTCATATGCAGTCTTCATATGCGCGTTTGTAATGGGAAGTACACCCTGCAAATAAATCCCTGCGTAAAAAATCTTTGTATATAGACAGAACCGTAAGACCCGACTAAACTTAAAAAGAGAAAACATGAAGAGAAGGATACACAGTAGTCAACGTTAGCAAGCTACGAGAGGGAATGAAGTCCAATGGGATAAAACCTAAACTAAGGTAACACTACTCTGCTATCTTAGTTATAAGCCTTCATAAATTCAAATGACAGAAACGTATAAAAAGTAGAAGTCATGGAAAATTACTATAAATGCATTAAAAGAAGACAGAGATGACACACCCTATAGACGTGACCCGCACTACTCTACTACTCTGGTCTTAGGCGATTTGACCAAACTGACATCGTTTAATCAAATATCTCCCTTTTTAACACCGTTTGACATATATTTCCCGAAGTAGCACCCTTTCGGTTGAGGTGGCGAAAGACGCATCCTCAGGGACGCGCTTTACCTGATTTTACGCTGAGTTGGATGCCACGTGTGAAAGGCGCATCCCCAGGGACGCGCCTTTCATTAAATGTCTTAAATGCCCATTCGATTTTCCCCCAACTACCTCTCCTCCTCCCCCTATATAAATCCCCTCAACCTCCCCTCATTCTTTATACCAAAATATTCTCCTCTCTTATATAACTCAAATTCTCCAAATCTTTGAGTTTTAATTTTCTTATTAGTGGTAAGAAATTTATTTTTTCAGTTAGTATTTTTTTTAAAATAGTTATTATATTTTATATTAATATAATTATATAAATATTATTTTTTATTAAAATAATATTTATATAATTATTATTTATTTAAATTTATTAATTAATTATTTTTTGTGCTAATTATTTTTTTGTCTACAGTTATAATGGAAAGTGAAATGTTGTTATGATTGGATGCTGACCATATCTCCAGACATTTTAGTGATATGGTAATATTTTTTTATAATTAATGTTAATATTTATTGTTATGTTTAATTTAAATTTATTATGAATTTATATTAATTTTAATTTTTTATAATGCATATTATTTAGGATACTGATCGTATTTTAGAGACATTTATTAAAAATTCACGTATACCGACACCGGAATGTATTTTGCCATATTTGGCTTCTGTCGGGTTCGAATATATTGTAACAATTATTGGCGGTTGCAAACTCGAACATGTCCTAATTTCTGCATTGATTGAGAGGTGGAGAGGCTACAATTACATTGGAGGATGTCTCTATGCATCTAGGGCTTCCTGTCGACGGAAATATGATGTGTGGTATGGCGGATGATGATTGGCAGTCAATGTGCATGGATTATCTTGGAGCTGCTCCGCTAGAGTTTAATGGAGTTAAAATAGCTTTATCTTGGTTGAAAGCTAATTTTGAGGTTTTAAATGAAAATGCTTCAGAGGATCAAGCAAAGGCATGTGCTCGGGAATATATTCTACGAATAATTGGAGGAATATTGATGCCCGATAAATCTCGCAACCAGGTGCATTGTATGTGGTTGCGGCATCTGATCGATTTTGATAAAACTGGAAGAGATAGTTGGGGCGATGCAGTTTTGGCATTTCTATTTAGAGAAATGTATCGGGCGACGAATTATAAGAAAACTGCTATCGGTGGATGTCTCCTGCTTCTGCAATCATGGGCGTGGTTCCACATGCCTTTCTTATGCCCGATCGTGAATGAACCATACGTATTCCCCTTATTGCTGAGGTAATTTTCGAACTAAATTTTGATTTAAATATTTTTAATTAAATAGGGTGATATTTAGTTTATATTATATTTCATAGGTGGTCGATGAAAAGAAAGAACCATAGAAGTATACCTACTGGTTAGAGGAAATTCGTCTACTTATTGATACAAAAGCTGGGTCTGAGGTATGTTTTTACACCTGTTTAAATATTAATATTTTAATTTAAAATGCTGGATATAATTAGAATATTTTATTTATTTGAATTGTATATTTATATTTCAGTTTCAATGGATACCTTATGTGAGCGATGAAGTGAAGGCTTACATCCCACCCCACCTTGGTGGGTCATTAGAGGTTTGGATATCGGTTATACCTCTTATATGTTATGTTATTATTGAGTGACATCCAGTTGATCTCATGCTCCGTCAGTATAGTTGTACGCAATATATTCCTGGAGCACCTAGGAATTTAGACGACGTGCATAACATAGATAGACGAGGAAAGAAAGAGGTTAACTGGGTGGTGAGACACAGAGATTGGATTGCGCTTTGGGAGAACCAGTATGCACAGTTGGCCCCTCGACAATATTACGCTGAAACTGGTCATATGGTTACGGATAACTATATGGACTGATTTAATGAAAATGGGAAGTTTCTACTTTCGGCGGAAGCACGAGGGGTTAGCATTCCTAGGCGCCGAGAAAGACGTCAACCGTCTCAATATCATCGTCCCCCGACACGTGGACGGAGAGAAGACGCTACCGGTTCTGCATCAGTCCTACCACAACATCCTTATCCACCGATGCCACAGTGTTACATGCTCAACCCTCCACTTCAGATTCCATCTCCTCAGGGGTATATGCCAAGCCCACCAGTTTATATGTCATCTCCGCAGGGTTACATGCCTAGCCCGCAGGGTTTTATATCATATGGAGGTGCATATACGGCTATGTTTAATGATCCAGCATATGGTTCATATGCATCTTATTTGGCTGGTGGTGCTTCTCCACAGACACTTCAATCTCCATCTGGATCGTAGACATCGATGCCAATGTTTCCACAGTTTTCACAGTTCCCGGGGAGCGGTGGGATTGTTACTAACACTTCTCCAGGGTTGTTATTTTGTACAGGCCCTTCAGCCCCTTCAGCAACATCTACGCCAAATAAAGAAAATGTCGATGATGATGATAGTGAAGATGAAGAGACTGAAGAACAAGTTCCACGAAGAAATCCTTCGCGAAATAGACAACCACTGCCATGTGGAACTCATTTGAGAAGACGACATCGGTGATCCAGTTGTATTTTAATGTTATTTAAATAGTTATATTTCAGAAATTTATGTAATTTGGTTATGTTATTTAAATGTTTCATGGTTGTTACTGTCAATATTTTTAATGTTATTTTTTATTCAAATTTAACATTAAATGTTTAATTAATGTTTTTAAAATACAAATTATAGTATTCGAAATTTAAAATTAAAATACAAATAATATTATTCGAAATTTAAATTTAAAATATAAATTATAGTATTTGAAATTTAACATTAAATTCAAC